ATATATATATATATACATATATATTGAAGATGACATAGTACTTAGACAGCATAACAGCCAGCACAGACAGTACAGTACTTGGCCGGATGATGAAACATTGCTGGACAGTGGAAGGCTACGGGTGGCGTTGACCACAGCCCGAACCTTACAGTAGATTTCGATATCATTTCGACACACCTCGAAAAAACGGGTGGCGATTATCGTGTCTGGATCAGGGACAATATCACAGCAAGCCGCATTGTCACGTTTGCCTGCAGAAGGCTAACCTTTTGCACTCATAGACCATTTATCGATGTGGAGCACTTTAAACAAAATAGCACACTGTCGATCGCCGTCCACGTCGGCAATAGATCTGCCGTTCAATTTTTCTAGAAACGATTTTTCAGTGACTCAGAAACCAGAGACGCTAGACACTTTTTGCGTTAAAACACGTGCAATGAGCTCCCAAGAGGCTCCTGAAGGTATGGGACGGATGTCACGACATCGTAGGGTCTCATTGACTCCCCAATCCCTTATTCGGGGTGAGTCCACATTGTCTCTTTTATGTTCGTTTTTATCAATGATGACGTGTAACTTTAAAAAAAGCCACTGGATCTTGTGGAAAGTTAAGAAATATATGAACATGAACATGAACGTGAGTTAACACCGCTGCCTGTGAGCGTTGCCTCAAACGTCCAGTATTCTCGTAATACACCGAACTGTTCGCTTGATAGCTTCGCTTGGCCATCACCTCCTGGTGCATCTAAGATCGGCCATTTCAGCATCGTAGCCCATGATACATAATCTGGCAACTTGTACATCTGGTAGGAAATAGTATGACAACCCTTGTTGCCCGTCAGCCGCAACGGGTAGCTTTTATTGGAGCGGCGTGCCGTATGCGAGAGACACGCCGCACCACGAGAGCGCGAGCGACAGGCGGCAAGACACCGGGAGAGACTATACCCACCCGGTCCGACACCCTGAAGAACAGCAGGCGTTTCCGGCCGTCGTGGTGGTGGAGATGTCGGCGCGCACGCCACAAGACTGGGATCGTGCTCTGTACCGAGCACAATCTTACACAATCACAATCACAATCTTACACAATCGTCTCGGCGTGGCGCCACAGCCGTCATGCCGTTTTGTTGCCAGTTTCTGAATGGCGTGGGTGATTGTGTCAGCGGTCTGTCAGTTGTTATATGTGAGGTTGAGTAAATTCGAAACCAACAGCTACCGGCACTAACCTATAACGCGTTCAGCCCTTATTGTACGCCTTGCTCCTTTCGTTTATCTGTTTTTCACAAACATTGGCAACTGAATATTGGATGAGAAAAGCGTGAATTGTAAAAAGTACATTAACACGTAGAGCTCCCAACATCATGGATGGCTGAGCTGGGAGCATTTATGTTAACGGTCGGCGAGCAGGTCAGAGAAGTGTCCGTTTTCGATGCAGCTTTTTCCGCTATCGGGGCGGAGCGCCGAGCTCCGTATTCAGGGGATAAACGCCGCGCGTCATTCTGTACGATTCCGAAGTGGCGTAATTGTGTTCTCTGGTTGGTAGCACACCTTATTCGTGCACTTTGAATGGCGCGTATCAAATGCATGCTACTTGTATATGCAGCACATGTGTTGGGACGTGCCTGTCAGAGAGGGGCAAGATCCCTTTTGAGGAGATAGTAGTTAAAAACTTAAGCATTTCCTGGTGAAGACATTGATCGTAATCATCAATATCAACTATTTTTAAGTACTGCAACGTTTAATGTAAGCCTAGTCGGTATCATTTTCATTGACCGTAATTCCGCTTCAAGAAACATTTGATGCACATGCCATTTACGTTAAGCATGAGGCGTTGCATGAATGAAATGTGGCATATATTTGTTTATCGTCACGAGATAATATCATGATGATCGCATGCGCGTTTTCAACATGGGGTTGCCCTCTGGTACCGATAAACAGCCATGTCGTTGTCCGGTTTCTCATCCCAATACTTTGGGTTTCTATACGAGGTTGCCGCGTGCCTGGCGGCACGAGCAGACGACGCTGTCGGTGCCGCTAGCTCCGTCGCCAGTCAGGCAATGTTCACTGGTATCAATAGCTTGGCCCAGATCTCTCTTTACGTAGGCGCGCAGCCACAGTTTTTCTAACGGAGGAGCAACATCAAATTTTATATGGACCAACTTGGTGCGAAATTGCCAACATCTAGTGTTGACCTCATCGGTCAGGAGAGAATTGTCCCGTGGCCGCCTTGGCTTCATCTCTGATTAACACCTATGGGCCAGCCAATACTCATGGATCACTTGCACCTATTACAAGTGCAATACTGTTCCGCCCACTCGGAACATCGAATAGATATGATTAAGCTGTTGTCCATGTTTGCTTTGTTATGCGAAGGGTCGTCGTCGTTGTCGTTGGGGCAGCACCGCGTCCTGCTACATGATAGTGGCTCGCATCTCAGTAATGCTTAATGTGTTAAGTGGCTTGCGTAAGTTGTTGAGTGCATTTTTGAGAAGCACTCCACAATTACATAAGAAAGAGTTTTTTTTTGTCTTACTGCTTGCCAAATAAGCTGGAGAAAGGAGAGATAGATGTGTTAATTTTTTTGGCTACGTGCCTTCATCAAAATGATTATGAGCAGTAAATTCAAAACATAAAACTGGCGAATAAAGAAATAGGAAAACGAGGAATAGGGCTGAAAGTGCTGTCTGATGTAACTGTTACTCAGCTTGTTCAACGTTGCGGTACCTGCGTCAATCGGCATTCTTCTACGTGTGGGAGACCCATACGCATCGTTGCTCGAGCTTTTATGTTTTGCCGCGGCTTGACCTTTGCAGTACTTGTTTCTCCTACGTATACGAAAAATGTGGCACCACTAAGTGTCAAAGCACACACCCCTCTCGCGCTGCGCTGTGACCGACAGCGGTACCGGACAGGCGTGATCTTATGTTTCAAACGCTTAACCCATAAAATGTGTAATTTTCAGGGCAAACCACGCGGCCTTTGTGACTGGCTAACGAAATTCTCACAGACAGCCGGTCAGACGCACGTTCGGAGAATGGTGTTAGGCGTTCCGTTCTACGGTACGGGAAAGCAGCGCAGGAAGCATCGTCTCCTTCACAACGAGATTTCCTCCTAGGCGATCCTCGGGGTCAATTGTGCTGCACAGCCACAGAAGGGTGCTCAAGTGTATAACATTGTCATTTCCATCCAGTTTCAGACAGACATAAACGGAGCTTGTCGATTCACTTAGTCAAATTCAGGTAGGCATTCAAACAATCGAATTTTGCACTAGGCTCGATTGGGTCAGATCCGATGATGCTGAAGCCATCGCATATGAACATCGGCTAGTTTTCAACACCGTCTTTTGGATTTGAAAGTCATACTAAATGATACGAACGTTCAGACACCTGTGGCTCATTTCCAAAACATACTCGTTGAAATGCAGTTTTGTTGCCTCTGTGCGGAGACGAGATAGCCATGAGCATGTGGGTTTTGTGCTTTGTTTCGCTGTCATCGAAGACATCTCTCTTTTATTTGTGACAATTACATCCACTGTCAATGCCATCTTAACTCGCCATCCTGTTGATCGGATATATTACGTAGTGATTTCGGACGCCTGGGATTTAGCATTCTGGACGATGTGACAATTAGCTTTCTAAACTTAGCTTGCGTAGTTCAGAATGTACCTCTCCGGAAATTGTTTGTTTTGTAGTGCGCGCTCATGTCATAAGCGATGGAAGAGTAAATTATGAAGACGTTCATGAAATGCGTAGGCCCAACAACTGTTATGCATATTAAGCCCATGCAAGGCCGGATCTCGGCAGCCAGCCAGACAAAATGAGTACTAGAATTAATTCAAAAGTTTAGAACTGTTACACACACGTGATGTGAAATTCCAAGCGTCTTGCGCCAGAAGACTAGGTCACATGTCCGGGCCGGGGGGGGGGGGGGGGCTATCCGCCAGAGGCCTTCAATGATTGAACTTCTAGGATCGAGCCCAATGCAATACATTAGTCTTGCATCCAACCCGCTCCGCATCCGCCCGCATGAAGAAAGCTAAATCCAATGTAGTCTAACCCATACAAGGCAAATATAATTTACTCAATACTCAACATCAGTCGATGACGGCTTAGTTCACCTTAACTTCACGCGCCATATGTACTTGTCATATATTGTGACATTTACTAGCCCATATTCGTCTTCTTCTTCTGTCTGTCAGGTCATTTCAATCCATTTGGGCCGGCAAAATGTCGGATCTGATGCAATCCTGACCTATGTGTTTTGGAAATGTCTCTACTCATTTGAGTCCAGCCGTCGGTTTAATCCTAAATGCACTCAGCTATCTAGTCCGTGAGGGGTTTTACTAGCTGTGCAGGAGCTTAAACCACGCAAACGATGTGCGTGATTAACGCTTTCGAGGAAGAAAAATATAAGTAACGAACGTTTCCTAAACCCAGGATTGCGGTTTGGTTTTGCTCGCTAAATCCTTGGAATCATATGCATTCAAATCCTGCAATTCAGTCCCCACTCTCAAGATACTCGCCCAAAAAATTGTCAGCTAGATCTTGCAACCCTGCAATCAAAACCTCTCCAATGCTGTGTTGCTGGTATGCAATAAGATACAGCAATGTTCTGTTGCTTCAGAGCGTGACCCTCACCTGGTTCCTTCTTGTAGGCTGCTCGTGGAAATAGCAGACGGAACTCGTACGATATCCTGACATCAATCACACGCAGAATGGCGAATAATCTTCACCAGCCAAATAACTTTGCGTCAAATGCTGCATGGATATAAAAATGATTTTCCCACGCCTGTCTGCAGCACAGACTGCATAACACCCCATCCCAATCAAGGAAAATCTCTTCATCACTGGATGTCAGAAAACATTCATCGAGAGAACCCGGGGAAGTCGAGCAGCTGCGTGCGCTAGCTCGCGGCCGTGGCCTCACTGCACACCCTGGCGGCCGAAGCGGCCTCTGCCTACCGCCACGCCCGCAGGGGTGAGAGCGGCGCGGACCAGCTCGCTGACCTGTGAGAAGGTGGTGCGGTGTCGCCTGCGGGCAGGTGTCGGGCAGGCGGACGTGGTGGGGCTGTGGCCGGCAGCCACGCCTCCCGAGCCACCCTCCGTCTTCAGCTTCTTGAACGCTCCCTCGCCTCCTGCAACAGGCAACCATCGAGCCATCGCTGTTAACAACGCAAGGCATCGCCTGCGTTATAGAACACGTAGAGAATGAGTGCAGGGATAGCTGGACCACAGGTTCGTCGAAAACCGGCGGATCGGGATAACAATTACGGCCACCTACATGGCCTGGCTCAGGCATGTGCCTGAGGTGCTTCCCCCCCCCCCCCCCCCCCCCCAGCAAAAGATTCCAGGATCCCACAATCATAGAATTCTGACGTATTGCTTTCCGAGCATCAGTGACCGTCCGATTGGGCAAGACATTCTCGTCGGCAAGAATACCCCGGCCCGATGTCAGCCTTTTACGCAGCTGGAACTAACTGAGCGGAGGGGGCATAGCAAGCGCAGAAATGCTGTTTTGGCTGCCTGTTGACACAGTGGGGCGACGCCATCCTGCTCACGCTCGTTTTCAAGTTTGTGTGCCTGCAGAAAATGCGAACAGAGTGCGAACTGGGCATGAAAGGGCAGAGGAAGAGGAGGACCTGTGACCTCTAACCTGCGCCGGGACTTCTCAGGCGCGGTCGGTGGAATCCATAGCTGGAGAACTAAAACGTACTGTGTGCAACAAATAAAGGAATATGTATTCGGCACTGCTGTGATTAGGATACGCTTATTTCACATCCGCTCAATGGGCGGTCTCATCATGGTGGCTTCCTTGTTAATGGGATTGTTCGCTGGCGCCTTTTGCTTTTTAGAACATGTCGGAAGCTCACAAATTTTATGCTGTAAACAACTGCTCAATAAATACATTTTACGTAGACTATTTTATTGCCGTGGTGTAAAGCCGTCATCGAGAATGCCTCAACAAGATCATATTTCTCGCAAAGCAAAGCTTCAACATCCACCACACATCCGTGTAATTTCATCTCAAAGTTTCTCCCTCGCAAGTTTCAACCACAGCAAACCTGGTTTGAACTCGTCTGGCCCAATATTTCATTCATTATAGTAACTTGGTTGCTAAAATTTCTGACATTGTAATCAAGTTTGCCCGCGTTTCAGATCAAATCTTCCACTTCATAATTGAATATCGTTAGCAAGTAACCAAACACTGCCAATAGCATTACCTGTTTGGCCGTGGCCGCCACCTCAGAGTGCATTGTTTCACTAAGGTAACTCGGTAACAAGAATAATGAATCGAGTTACGCCGCTGCAGCGACCGGTGCAATAGCAATGGCGCGAGCGCGGCGGGCGCGTCTCACCTGCGTGCTCTGGGTGCGGCCGGAGCGTGTTGTCCAGGCCGTACAGGCCCGAGAAGTCGTCCACCTTGCGCTTGTCCCTGTCGTCGGCCAGGCCGGGCGTCCGCACCTGGTAGCCCTCCATGGGGTCGCGGCCGCCGGGCCGCCGCTGCGCCTCCGAACCGGCCGCCGTCGCCGCCGATACAGGCCACAAATCAGGTTTGCGGCATTAATGCAGGCGGGCGGCTCGGCCCGGTGCCGCGCGACATATGATGAAGCAGCCAATGGTGACTAATGACGTTAGAACGAAAGATAGAGTTTTATAGATCCAAACTGGTGGCGCCGCTCGGCACGCCCCGCGCCCGGCGGCCGACAGCCCGCGTCGCGAGACGATTGCCGCAAATCTGGCGCCCAAGTGTTGCAATGCGAACCAATCAGATTAGCGTTCCTCGGCGGGGTCATCCTCGGGCCGCGCGGCCAGGAGACGCCGCCCGCTGATTGGTCCAGACACCCGGCGCGCAGAGAACGCCAACATGGCGGCGCCCGGCGATCAATAGCGGCTGGGACGACCGCCGCCGGCGGTTCCGCCGCCACGCGTGCGGCGGGCGGCGGCCCGTCGCAGCCTCAGACAGCGGACAAAGAACGCCGGCGGACGGGGAGAGAGAGGAGAAGCCGTCAGGTCCGGAAGGGCGCCGGCGGCGGCCCGTCCTGACTTGGCGGTCCAGCCAGGCCGAGGACGGTAGTCCAGCAGCGATCAGAGCTGACCGGCCGGCCGAGGGCGGCGGCTGCCCCGATCCGAGAGGGCGGACTGGCACGGCCCCGGGTGTGGCGGTCTTATCAGCTCGACGGCGCACGGAATGCCAAGTGAGCAAGACGCCGCCGGACGGTGATGACGGGAGAGAGAGGCTGGCGGGCAGCTGATGACACCGACACCCTGCAACATAAACGGACCGTGCGGCCTACTCGTAACCCTACACTTAGACACTGCTATGGTCTCTGACAACAAAGGCCGCGATCCTCACTGGCGGATAGGCTCCCTGCGCGACAATTGACGTGAGCTGCGTTTTTGAAATCAACTTTTGCTTTCATGGCCAGCTGGTTTCTGATATAGTTCGCAAATAGGTTCAAGTGGCAAGTCGTCGCAGAGTCGTATGTCGCTGCTGACTAACAGCGTGTTTGCAAGGTAGTAAAGCCCGTGTTTGACAGATCGCTCATATGCGATAGTGAACGCAAGTTTTTTTAAGTACAGCTAAGGTCCAGTTGAGCCATCTTTCTCCGGCTCCCAGAGAAAGCGTCATTTTTATACTTGGTATATAATAAAATAAGGGAGTTTCTAAAAACGTTGTTACCGATCATCGAAAAGTTACACAAGATATGCGTGTTCTGTGTCCAGTGACGACACAGGCCCAGAAACCAAGGATCACGCGAGGATTTCAGCCCCTGGTCTGCGTATTGGAGACAGTGCGGCGATTTCGACCCGCAACACCGACCCGTTATCAAAGGTCAGCTGGTACGAAGGTTCAAGCGCCATATTTGTGCGCCAGAAGCAGCGTGCATATATGGAGCCGAGAAAACACGTCAGACTAACGATATTGGTGAAGCGCGGAAGCGGACAAACCCCCATATGACAACGAGGTTTGTCTGTGGTCCCAGGAGATCGCCGGAACAAGGCCGCACGGCTGCAGCTCGCGTCCGCCACAGGCCAGCCTTCCGCTGAGTGTGGGGCGTGACTGGCGCCGGCCGCCGGCGCCGGCAGCCAGGGCCGCTCCCCGGGGTCGGCGGCGGCCGGCTCCAGTATGTCAGGTGTCACGCTCACATAAGTGAATCAGCGCCAGTGACCTGGGCCACGGACGGTCGGGCGCGTCCCTGGACCCACGTCTGGCCGTGCTCTGGTGCGCCGGGCTGACAGGACGTCTGCCGGCTGGCGGCGGTGTTTCTGATGCACCGGGGTGACAGGACGTCTGCCGGCTGGCGCGGTGCTCTGGTGCACCGGGGGTGACAGGACGTCTGCCGGCTGGCGGCGGCGTTCTGGTGCACCGGGGTGACAGGACGTCTGCCGGCTGGCTGGCGGTGCTCTGGTGCACCGGGGGTGACAGGACTTCTGCCGGCTGGCGGCGATGTTCTGGTGCGGCCTCTGTGGCATGGTCTGCGGGAGATCACGGAGGGTGCCTAGGTGGAGGCGACGGTGCGTGGTTGTAACACTCCAGCTAGCTGGCATTAAGTTAAAAGGGGGAAATGAAAGAACATATTTGGTTCTTTTCGTTTGCACGTGCTGCTCAAACCAAATCATCTGAACTCATGCTTGTACTTTGGTCGAAACAGTCGGAATATGAAAGGCAAGGAATGCACATCTATTGACCGTTTAGTTTGAATTTTGTAATAGTGCTATGACAGGTAGCTTCAGGCATCCTTGTAATGCCAAAAAAATGCGGTTGGCCATCAAGTTCTACCAGAATTCTGAGGAGCGACATGAGCATGCATTTTATTGCAATATCAAGCTAACCTTTATTCATTGCTTATGAAGTTGTACCGAATAGCATGGAAACATTGAACAGGTAATCACGACGAGAGTCTCGATGTTTATTGCAATGAAGGCAAGATGTCCGAGCTTGCCCAACCTGTCGCACAGGATCCCACGTGCAAGCAGATGCTCGTTTTTCGAACGAGCACCTGTTTGCTCGGAAGGGTGAGGGTGCCCAGTTTTTCATTAGTTCCCGCACACATTTTCAAATCTGATTCTTTTGTACATGTTCATTACGCACCTTTTTTCGCATTCATGAGATCAGTTTTGCAATTCTCAGTGAAACTTTTTAACACTTCTGTCTCGGTCAGTTATTACGTCATCAGAACCATGAAAATACGATATAAAACTCTTAAGATTGGAAAAGTGTGTGTTCTCCGCAAAAACCTACCTTAACCCCCCCCCCCTGCCCCCCAGCGCGGTTACACCGTTGTAAGGGACACCTCTCCCGGCAGTGTGTGTCGGAATACGGCCAGGTCACCCAGGCCCGCGCCACCAACTCCTCACGGGACATTTGAGCCGGCATCTTTTTTATAGCGAGCAATGGTGGTGACGCGTGCTTTTTAGATGCGATGTAAGGAGAAGGGGCTGGACGCTCTACCCTGATCTTTCGATCTCTGGCCTTTCCCAACAGATCTCTGTGGGGGTGGGCTGTATGTTTTTATGTACGTATGCATTGGTATCGTGAGATAATCCACGTTTGTTTGGGATATAAAATGGATGGCTCCACACTTGAATATATCAATGCAAACACCACATATAATGAAATAAACTCAGTTATAACTATTGGTATGCATTTAAGAGAAAAGTCTGCTCAAAAAAATAATTTCTATATCTGGCAAATATACTCCTTAATAAGTCATTTTTCATTGCGTCATCGTGCCTTGCACAACATTGACTGAGAGCCAATCGACGGCCGTTATATCTGGAATCGTGCTCACGAATGCCAGATATGAACAACTCGACAATTATACTTGTTTCTGGTCTTGATTACCGCACGGCCAATGGAATGGCAGGATTTGAATAATGTTATTATGGTGTGATGCATGCCGGGGTGTAACCTTGAAATAATCGGCACGAAATAGTCCGCGCATTTTCTCTGGCACGTAGGTTAGAAAGCAGAGAGGACTAGGCCTTAAGAAGAGCAGGGTTGCAGACTGTATCGAATTATCTTCAAAATGGCAATTTCAGTTCAAATCCCATGTAAAGGTGGAAAGCTCCTTTTAATCTCAAAGCCACATTTGAGGAAATGCTACAGTCTTTATGCGCTGCGGTATGTACAACTCATGAACGTGCGGACAGGGGAAAAACTTTCCACACACCTGGAATTGGGACGGATCCCTCATTCAAGCATACACTCCTTTCTACTTTGTAAGAGGTTTGCGTACCGCTACACTGCTTCTCGTTGTCGTACACATGAAAACAAACGGGAAATGAACGTGTACTTAATGCATGCTCGCATATGTGATCCAGAGTGAAAAAGATGCAGGCTCATCGTGAAAAACGTCCCGACACGAGATGAATAACTTCGTCCACGCCATATCACTCATATGGCTCGTGCCGGTCTAGAAGCCTGCAGCATCCCACCCCATCCTCTCATATCAGCGGGTCCGAGCCACAAACGAACGGGTCCCAAGTTGCTGCCAGTGCCGGATTGTGGATGAGCCCGGTATGCTGTGCCGCACTGCTTGCATGTACTGCGGGTCAGGCGACGTCGTGACGAAGTGGCGCGGTACAGTCTCCAGCGATAAGGTCCAGAAGTTCAGCATTTCGGTCGCGAGACGCCGACTAGACCTCAGGACGTTAGCAGTTGGATTCGAATCTTCAGGTAAGTGAATCCTCATTCGAATTCGATTCGAGTTTCGGACGCATCTGGGTAGATTCGTGGTCTGTATATCAGGATCTCGAGCGAATACAATGTAGTAAACAGGTGGGCGACTCAGAAGAACATGCGATCCCAGCAATATTTAGACATTTCACTCACCGTGAATGGTTTGCCTTCAGGATTTGGTACATTTTTCAAGTTTTTAATCCTTATTTTCACTGTTTCAATTCCCGTTTTTGCGATTCCCGAGTTGGCAAAATTATTAATCGACTCCAAGCTATTCAAACGCTGAGGGTTCGAGTCCTCATCTCTAATGCAACAGATGGTGCCATGACAGTACCAGATGGTACTGGAACCGAGTTCGCACACGAGTATGTCGGTCTGTGGCTGGTAACCCTAGTTATAAAGGTGTCAGGGAGTAGCGGGTGCCGGGTGTGGCCGGAGGGGAAGCGGGTTTGCAAGTGCAGACCGCCAACACAACCTCATCAACTCGGACACCTAAGCACGTGAATAGGCGCTGATCTTGGATGAGGCTTATCCGGCACAGTCGCTGTTCCTTCAGCTCGTTTAAAGAGTGATTGATTAAAGTTCTGCGTAGATTTCATAAGAAAAACATGTCTCCTCGCGCGTCTCTCGCCTGGCGAGGAAGTAATAACGCCTGGCCGTCTGTGTGGAGCGGCCTGACTGGACCAGCACATACCATTCACTCAGACATGCCATTTCAGACCATGACTCGCCATTCACATGCCCATTCAGGTTACGAAATCCGCCGTGTCCCTCGATAAGTCAAGATTAAAAACTTCAAACAGCTGATAAATGGACAGAAGGCTACTCCCGAGCCAAGAAGAAATGAAGCCCCTGCAGAGCCACCCACCAAACATACCGTGGACTTGAAACGCTGACAGGGCTGACTGGCCGCCTCCAAGCCTTCTTAAACTTGAAGGCAAGCCTTGAGTAACTTAGAAAACGTTCTCTGGAACGTTTTCATCAGCAGCTTGACAAAACTGTCAAACACACCACTGCTTCCGCGTGGGCGGG